CTTTTGTATCTATGCTTCTTTTTCTACGTCTGCTTCTGTCTCCTTGAACCCCAGTGGGCCTCAGCAGATGGCCGCTCACTCTAAGGATGCGTTTGATTCCAGAGGCTGCGTCTTCCAAGGACGCAGTCTACCTGGTTTGGATCCTTGAAGGATGCTGGAAGAGTTTAGCTGTGGATTCAAACAGGTCCAGCTTTCGGCGGCTTTCACCGCCTGTATACTCTGTCGCCTAGCAACCATGACAGTTGACACACAAAGCAGGAAACGAATGAATACTGAACTTCTCAGTTTCTTTTCTGTTTTTTTATGGTAAAATGAACAAAGACCACAGAGATGAGAATCCAGAGTGGAATAAAGGAGCCAACCAGCGGGAACTAATCAAAGCTAATAATAGAAAAGGGTAGAAAGATTAATTTAATCTGAACGATGTATGTTTAAAAAATATATCTACAAAATCTCTGATATTCAACAACAAAAAATACTTAGTTAAGAAAATTGTGCAAAATAGCAATAAAAAAATAAGTTCTTCAATAGTAAATTAGATCATCAAATAAAGATATAAACATTGATAAAGACAGATCACTAGACTGAAAAAGATAAAAAATATAAGATATAAGAGAAAATAAGAATAACGTTCAGATAGAAAAGCATGGAGTCTGTTAGCATCACTGGAAGACATTTCCTTTAAGGACAAACTAAGTTTATTTATTTCATTTTGTAATGCAAAGATTATAGAGAGAATTTTGGTAAGAAGACATTTGACCATAATAATTATATTATTAATTATAAATTATATTTGTTAATCTGGGGCAATAATATCAGATTTGATTGCAGAGGAGGAGAGAAAATGATTGTTTAAGGATTTAGAGAGAAACCAGTTATGAACTGAGGATAAAAATGTTTGGGTTTTACTTCAATAAATCAGATAAATGTTCAGTTCTTTTCTCTTCCTGCTCACATAGACCATGTTTATCTGCAGTGAATTTAAATCTGGAGAATATGATTGGTTGAAAGGATAAATGTCATTTAAAGTTGGGAAATTAATCTCTTTATATTTAGGCGGAATAGAAATGATTCTCGATGCACAGATCTCATTGTTGGAGAATTCTTTTAATAGGGAAAGTCTTTTAATTGGATTAAGATAGAAGGTATTTATTGACACTTTTCTTAAAAATATATTTTTGCATCTATTATATTAATTCCTTTGATATAGTATTTTTAGGTTTAGGAACTAGAATATTACTGAGACAACATTGAACTACACTGATCAATGTTTTTAGGATATAACTGATCATGTGTCCATTTTCCTGGGAATTTAAATCATCCAGTGACATTAACTCTCCATCACTCCTCACTGCTGCTCTGGCTGCTAATAACATCTCTGAGGAGCTTCAGCAGCAGATTTATAGTCCCCCCCCTGCAGATACGGTATGTTAGAATCTGAGCTTAAATTCCAGACAAACCCATTTATACAGTAACAGATAAAAACCTTTAGATAAACCAAACATTACCGCCACATATCTGACTCTATAACCATTAAAACGTCAAACTAAAGTTAAGCCTGGTTCTGCTGGAGGTTTCTTCCTGTTCAAAGAGAGTTTTCCTCTCCACTGTCGCTACAAGCATGCTTAGTGTGAGGGATTGCTGAAGAGTCAATATCTACTGTCTCTAGCTGCTCATCCAGGGGGAGAAAATCCTGTAAAGTCAACAACTGGATGATCTGATTGAACTAGATCTATAAAGTGACCTGAGGTGACATGCTGGCAATTAGAGCATAGAAATAAAGTAAATAGAAGTGAGATTACAGAATAGAATAGAACAGCTGTGATTCGTTGTCAGACTAACGGCTGTTCCTCTTTGCTCTGCAGATAAAAACTCCTGCAGAAGGAACATAACTTCTGGCACATTTTGGATCAGAACCGAGCCTCATTGATCAGACGGACCTTCAGAAACACCCTGGGAGCTTTGGAAGCTGCTCATCCAGGGTTAGAGGTTCCCTTTGTTGGGGATTAATAACTCTGCTGCTGATAGCTATGGTCTAATGGGTCTAATGACACCGCAGGTCCAGAGTTCAACCTTTTATATGAGAGACTAAGCATGCTGGAGCAGATTACCGCTAAATCATTCAACTAATAGGAATTCATTGGTTTTACCCTCGATTTAAACTATAACTTCCAGTTCTAGTTAGTAAAATATTAATAATCTAAACACTACAGAGGGTCCGGTTCTGCTTCCGGTCCGTCAAACTGTTCCTGATCCTGGTTCTGGTTCAGCAGGATCTCTGCTGAGGAAGCAAGGAGCCTCCAGAGGATCTCTGATCTGTTCCTGAGGAACCAGGAGCTTCTGAACCTCAGAGCCACCTAAGAACCGGACCCAGCCCCCATCCCAATGGAAGGATTAGGGCTGAAGATGACAGACGGTGTGGTGCTGCTGATCTGAGAGCGCAGCAGCTGCTCGGCCCGTTCTCCCCGAGGTTCTGCCAGTCCCTGCTTAATCTGACTGATCAGCTCTGACTCTAACTCCTGGCTCTGACAGTAAAACCTGTCTGTCCACTTTATCTGAAGCTCAGCCCATGTGTGAAGCTGTCAGAACCGCTCAGTCTCAACCCTTCTGACGCTCTGCTCTCCAGAACCCAACCTCTCTCAGGAATGGATGGACCGGATTCTCCAGGCCTTCAGCCGGACCGACTTCTCCTGCAGCAGAACTTTGGTTCTAACTGAAGGAACTTAGCAGACAGGGGGGTTGGTTCTGCTGCAAAGCATAACTGGACTCTGCTCAGGACCAAACTCAGCTGCTGCTGGGTTCTCCATCAGTAAAATCCCTGATAATCTGTCCAGAACCACCTCTGACCCAATCAATAACGGACCCGACGAAGAACTGACCTGACTGTCGTTGGGCCGAAGATGACCGGGAGTCCAGAAATCTTCCCTGGGGTTCTGCTCACGTCCGCTGGCAGAGTTCCTCTGCTGTGGTAATCCCCTGGGTTCCTCCTGGATTTATTGACTTTAAACCGAGCATGCTCAGTGTGATCAGAGTGAGGAAGACTCCAGCAGGGACGCCTGAACAGCTGGACCGTCTGCAGACCGGGAGGAAGATCAGCAGGAAGTCAGACAGAGGTTCAGCTCTGCTGCAGGGGTCCAGAGAAGGTCCAAGGCTGACCTGTGGGGGTCCTGTCCGCTACTGCTGTCAGAAGCACCGGAACCAGAGATGATCTACAGCAAACAGAAATATTCCCCAAAACACTCTGGTTCAGGCTGGAGGAGAATTCACAGAAAAAAGCTAAATAGGTTCTGGATTTAATCATTCCTGAAACAGCTCAGATGTTCCTGGGATGGTTGGAAGAAACCTGGGAACCACTTCATGTTCTTCAGCTGGAACCATCTGACGCCTCATTGGTGGAAGCTGGAACCATCTGACGCCTCATTGGTGGAAGCTGGAACCATCTGACGCCTCACTGGTGGAAGCTGAAACCATCTGACGCCTCATTGGTGGAAGCTGGAACC